TATATATATATATATATATATATATATATATATATATATATACTACTTCCTCAATTTTTGTGTAAATGTGTAATAATTTCAAGACTGTGGTTGGTCAGCCTCTTCTAATGATATGAAAGGAAAACCGAAAACAAGTGGTGCAGAACAGTGAGCATTGAACTTTTTTGACATGTATTGTGGAAATACCTGCCTAATTAAGAAATCCAAAGGCCGCGCCATAGCTCAAGCGGTTAGTCGCTGGCTTCCCACCGCGGTGGCCTGGGTTCAGTCCCGGGTCTGGTCAAGTGGGATTTGTGGTGGACAGAGTGGCGCTGGGGCAGGTTTTCTCCAAGTACTTCGGTTTCCCCTGCCAATCTTCATTCCACCAATTGCTCCACAATTACCCTCGCCTATCATCTGGGGCTGGTACAATAGGCCAGAAGTGGTCGAAGTACAAGGGACTTAGTCCCACCCCACTAACAATAAAAAAAATCCAAAAAGGAGGGGAATTAATTTACCATCTAGATAAAATGTAGGTGAATGCAGGTCACAGCCAGGGAAAGTATCGAAAGATGAAATGAGACATGTAGTAAACAAACGTTTGTCACGTGGTTGTTCCCTTAATCAAGGGGAAAAGGTTCACATTCTCCACATAGGAAGTGAAAGTTAGGGATGGTAAAATGTATGAGAGGTTATTCCTTGGCATTCTTCCAGAACTTGACATGACTGTATTAGGCTGTGTGCCATATTTCTCTGTTAAAGAAGAAAGAATGCCCAACAGATCCTGAAGGCAGACATTCAAAAATGGCTAGACATTAGGATCATTAACTGTAATCCTAACTCTGTAAAATTAGAATATGATTCAGTACCACAGCATCCTTGTGTTGTTTGTAATGCAGTAAAATGTGGAAGGCAGTGTTAAGATTTGCACCCTGTTGCTGTTCTAGAAACCTTTTAAAACTTATGTGATAATAATAATGAAATAATGCTGAGTTGACAATTGCCGAAATAAGAGAACACCTACTTGAAGGAATACAGAGTGTTACAGCTGACTGCTAGTATTCATGTGTTCAGTACATTATTTATTTATTTATTATTTGTAATTTATTTACTTATGCTGTCAGTAAGTCAGGCTGTAAGCATCAAACGATTGGATGATAGTGAATAATCAGTTAGGAAAGCATGTAGACAGGAGTAGTCATGGTCTGAGTTAAGATACTCTTGTGAAAAATCCTCAGAATAATAGATATCCTAGCTGAGGTTTGAACGAAACACCTCATGAATATAAATCAGAAACATTATCATTTGCGACAAGTCGCTCTGTCAGTATGTTATCAAAACTGAAGAAGTGAACTTCTGGAAGCTGGACAGCATTGTGAAGGAACTACAAGGATGCTTTACTCTTAATTTGGCTGATGAAACATCAGACAGAATTGATGGTGAAGTCAATATGGAGGCAGCAGCATGCCTCAAAAGTGATAGGACTAAACAGGTAGTTAATTTGCTATGCATTTGTTTGTTTCCAGTTTGGTTTTCTGCTTTGTTTTGTTTATTATTGAAATAACTTAGTATAGGCAACCAATATTTGACAAAAAAGCTAATGTGTTTACAACTAGTAGTAACATATACTGTCCAGCTTCTTAGTGGAAGAAGTTGAGGGCAATTGTTCACATGAAACCTCAGAACAACAAGGTTGAACTGTAGGGGTGAGGTCCTGGCCTTGGGTGTGAAATAACTGCATTCATCTTGATTTCATGCAAGATTTTGACCATGGATTTGATAAAATTGAAACTTTATGAACTTTAAAACTTTATGAAGTACCATGCAGTAGTAGAGTCTGCCTCTGGACCTTATTGAATGCAGACTAAATCATACAAAGGTTATCTACTAAAATGTCATCATCATTACAGGTTCAGAGTGTTGGTGTGTCCAATAAAGTACTGGGTGCTAACATGAAGCTAGCAAATGCAATGAACGCTACTTCCAAAACAATGGCAGATATGAACAAAATAATGAAGCCAGAGCAGGTTGCAGCTGACATGCGGGCCTTTGGCCAAGCATCCATGAAGTTGGATATGACTGATGAAATGAGTAAGTATGATTCTGAAATCAGCTGATTGCATGGCACAAAATAATCAATGTTTATCCAAAATTTGTGACAGTGGTTGATTCGTGACATTATGTTGATATTAATTTTTATGACAATATTGATATCTCAGACTATATAGCGCAGATATATTGAGGGTTGACTCTTGTCCATGTTTTATATGCTTGCAGAAAATCTCCTTTGTTATCAAGTTGTTTGTATGTTATGTAGTGATGCTGAACAGGTTGGCACAGTGTTGGTACTTTTGATTTGTAGCAAGGAGGAACCAGATTCACATCTCATCCACAAAAAGTAGCTGATTGTTGATTATGGTGGCTTCTCCTAGTCTTTTGTGTTGAGTGTTTTGATAGAACCTCAAAGGAGAACACAGCTGCTCCAACTTAATCGTTTTCAGTTATCACACAATACTCTTTCAACATTCTATAACCGAACAATTTATGAAGCGTTATAAAATAATCAGTTAAGAGAAGAGTTAAGAGAAGACTGGAAAGTATTTATGTGAATGTGTGTTACAGTAAATGATACATTGGACGACATGTTGACGGAATCAGGTGATGAAGAGGAGGGTGATAAGGTTGTGCAACAAGTCCTGGATGAGATTGGTATTGAGATTTCTGGCAAGATGGCTGCAGCACCAGCCGCTCATCGTGGAAAACTTGGCGAGAGCTCTAAATCACAGCTTCCAACAGATGAAGAAATAGAAGCTCAGCTCGCAAAGCTGAGGTCATAGCTCCAATTTTGCAGTGAGCTGTTTCTACAGTTGTTATGCCCTGAAGCCAGGTGAATGGTATGTGTAACCCTTAAACTGAATAAAACATTACATCTCCTTTCTTGAAAGGATGGTTTACATCCTATAAAAATATGAAGAGTCTTTTTATTTATGTTAGTGAACACACAAAGAAACTTTCAAAATTGCTACAGGGACCAAATCAGGCGATTTAAACAAGATTTCTAGTGTTGTGGTTCCTGAATTACTGGAGGGATAAGGGTTAACACTGTTTTGAAATTTGAAATGTGAATTATAGTGTCTAAAATAGGAGTGTTATATCCTTGGATTTTGTTGCATAAATGAAATGTTGATCGTGAGTGTTTTATAAAGAACCATGCAGCGTAGGAAACTAAACTACTTGTTTCGACTTAGGGCATCAGTGATTAATCTGCTACAAATTTATGTTCCTTTATCTTCTGTAGTTGTGAGTAATTTATGTTTTGTCCTTTTTGAAGGCATCTCCTTTGAACCTAGAGATGTAGTAATCCCTAAAAAATGTTATCACTTGGTAAATAAATTGGCAAGAAAAATCTAATTTGAAACATTCTTACTGATCGAATACAGTGTAATTGGATTTTAAATTTATTTTCATTTAACCTGAAGGTGTCATGAAAAATAAACTGTAAACTTTCTGAAGTCCAGTACAACAGAAGATTCTGTATGTTTCCTGTAAAAATATGTGGTCATATAAAAATATAATAAATAAGCATAGTTGTTATATACCATTACAGAAGACACATCCTCTTCCAAGGGACTTCCTGTTATGTCAGGATTTAGAATGGCAGTATACAGCAGTATGTTATAAAAAAACAAAATTAAAATATTTAAAATGGTACAAAATTGTGAGCAATTCACAGAGATTTAAACAACTTTATTATTTTTGTCAAAGAACTGTTGCAAGTTTTATGTATGAATACTGACACATTAATTTTGCCAAAAACTTAAAATAGTAAAGCATCTGAGTAGTGGTACCTTCCTGGAAAAGAGAATTTGTGTTTATGTTTGTGTGAACACAAACTACTACTACTACTATCCTAGCATGGTTGCCTTTGGTAGACTGATGCCAAGTTGTCTTTGACTTTGACTCCAGTAGTCGAGTAGAGGTATTAGTTGAAGAGTGAAGAGTCGCGATTCGGGACGCCAGCCTCCCAGGATATGAGCCTGGTACTGAATTGAGTTGGAAGTTGCAGAATAATGGCAAGAAGGGAATTAGGCTCTGAAACGAAGACTTCATGTGGGATGTTAAGTGATCAGATTTAGTGAATCAACTTACTTACTTAATCATGGAGCTGAGCCTTTCTGGAGGAGTTGCCAATTCTGCAGCTACTCAAGAATTTCCCAGAATTTTATGGAACCCAAAGGTTCATTACCATGTTCATAAGAGCCCTCCACTGGTCCCTGTCCTGAGCCAGATCTATCCAATTCATACCATCCCATCCTGTCTCTCTAAGATTCATTCTAATATTGTCCACCCACCTATGCCTTGGTCTTCCCTGTGGTCTCTCTCCTTCTGGCTTTCCCACCAATATCCTATACGCATTTCTCGTCCCCCCCCCATTCGTGCCACATGATCTGCCCACCTCATCCTCCTTGACTTGATCATTCTAATTATACTTGGAGAAAAGTAAGTTATGAAGCTTCTCATTATGCAGTTTTCTCCAACCTCCTGTCACTTCATCTCTCTTCGGTCCAAATATTCTCCTCAACACCCTGTTCTCAAACATCCTCAGTCTATGTTCTTCCCTTAATGTCAGAGACCAAGTTTCACACCCATACAGAACCACAGGCAAAATTATAGTTTTGTATATTCTAATTTGTATGTTTTTGGACAGCAGACGAGAAGACAAAAGGTTCTGGACTGAATGATAGCAAGCATTACCCGAGTTCAATCTCCTCTTAATTTCTTCCTGAATCAGGTTTTGATCTGTTATCGTTGTTCCAAAATATCTGAACTGTGCCACATTTTCAAAACATCTGTTTCCTAACTTTATGTTATGATTTTTCCCTGCATTTTCTCCGTGTTTACTTCTAAACGTTTCGTTTAAACACATTTTAATCAACCTAACTAGATTCATGGGTGAGTCACCTTATATGTTTAAATTTAAATGAGCCATCATATTTAAAGAAGTTCCATAATCATGGATTATCTACAACTTCTTGCCATCTGCCATCATTCTAACTTTGCTGGAGTCAAAGTACCGATGTTTTTTTTATTGCTAGTGGGGTGGGACTAAGTCCCTTGTACTGCTGCACTTCTGGCCTGTTGTACCAGCCCCAGATGATAGGTGAGGGTGATTGCGGAGCAATTGGTGGAATGAAGATTGGCAGGGGAAACCGAAGTACGCAGAGAAAACCTGCCCCAGCGCCTCTTTGTCCACCACAAATCCCACTTGACCAGACCCGGGATCGAACCACGGCCGCCGTCAAAGGAAGCCAGCGACTAACCGCTTGAGCTATGGCGTGGCCAAAGTACAAATGTTGGGTCAATTGTAATAGTTTGATACACACGGAAAAGATGGCAGCACGCGAATACTGAGACAGTGCTGCCCCCAACGCCAGTCTTGCCAGTGATTGGTTTCGTACAGTTTGCGAGTCCTGTTACGGGGGTTATGTAAGTTGTTTACGTTTGCCTAATAATTGCAGAGTAAATTTTGTTACCAATATTTTAATTTATTTAGGTCTCAATTGGAGGACTAGATATAAAGTTCCCACTTCAGAAACATCTTAAATTGTGAAAAAATTAGTACGGATGTTGTTTCCAGTTGCCTATTTAACAACGCTGTCAGTCTCAATAATGTGTATGGTTGGATGAGAGGACGACAAATGAATATGCAATAATTGGTGGAATGGGAATTCTTAGGGAAAACCGAAGTACGAAGAAAAAGCCAGCCCCAGAGCCACTTTGTCCAGAAATCCTTGGTTTTGCCTGGGATCGAACCCGGGCATGGACTTGGGGTTGGATAATGAGTGAGAAGCTTAAAGACGACTTGGTTTTGGAGCACTGAAACAATTTTTACTTTTACTTTTATTAGTATAAATCCTCATTTAATTACTAGTATGAACGCATAGGGTTATATGGTACATCTACCACTTAACGAAAACGAAGCACTGCAAACTCAGTTGCTAGAGACAAATTTGAAACTGCAAAACATATTATTATTTATGATAATATAACTAACTCCATGAAGGACTCAGCTCCAAGGAGGTAATTGGTTTTAATAGTTCCTCTATAGGCGGTCTTATCTGGGGACAGTGGTTTGTTTAGGATTCACATCCAACGAATGAGCAAAATTCGTCAAGAGTAGTCGTCGTCATCGTTGTTGGTGGTGGTGGTGGTATCGTTCTTAACGTCAAAAAATCTCGATTTCTGTGTTCCACATTTCATGTAATCATGTATAAGCACTATCCTTCATTCTTACGCTACAAAGCCATTGCATATTATTGTTTTCCTCATGGCATTACACTAAAATGTATTTATTTCACGGTACAATACACAACGCATAACACAGTACACCATACACGTTGTAAAGTTTTATGTGTGCGCGCGGTTGCACACGCATGCAAGTGCTCCCTGCAAGTATGTGTGTACACCAAAGGCCTATAAGGATATTAAAATTATTTTTCACAATTAGTTACGCACTTCGAACGTTCTTTTTAAAGTAAAAAAAGAAATGCCTGTGGGGAGGTTATATGTGTGTGTCTGCCTGTCTGTGACGTAATACTAGCGTAAAGCTGACAACTTCACCGCCATCTGTGAGCCGATTGTCTAGAAAATGTGGGCGCCTCGACGTCTCACAACCCTACGGGCTTCCAAAGGCTGTTACAGGAATAGCTTTACCGTTTACATTTTGAACATATTTTATCTATGAGTTCGGAATGCATAATATTTAAAACGGTTCTCGAATCTCGCATTTCAAATTAAAACTATTTTGACGTATATTTTGTATTTTGTAAGTACCCTATTTCGAGGAGCGTTTCACATACGGAAAAGAGGGTAGCGGCCGAAAACCTAGGACGTAGTCTTTCGCGTGCCTTCTATCACAGTTTTACCTTTACCTACTGTGAATATAACAATACTGAAATCTGTTAGGCCCGTTTAATTTTGACTCGCTTAAGTCTTACTGTTGCCTCCTTTGGCTCTCAATCTTCATGTCGAATTTAGATTATATATTTATTATAGTTGACCTAGACTAACACGCGGTAAGCAGATTCGTGTTTGAGGCACATCAGTTCATGAGTGTTGCCAGACACAAAGATAGTATTTATATTTTCCCATTATTAACTCTTGAACTAAACCGACAATAACGGCCATGGGGATCCGTTTCGCTGAACACGCGACACCCTATATCCACAAAATTTGGCACTAACTTCGCTGACAAGCGGCTGGCGCTCGATAGGTATAGTTCACTTGCGGAGTACAGGCTACGGAATATTTTAACTCTTGAACTACGAGTATTTCAACCTTATGAAATTCGGTATGGTCACCCAACACGATAACTTATCTAACAAATTAATTTTTGCCAACACACAAAGACGAATGTATTGTGATGCACGTATACTGTGTTATTTCTTATTCTTTTTTAAGATATAACGTTTTGAGCAGAGAAGAAACATAATAGCTTGGAAGAAAGACCAGACTATAAAGTTTAGTAAACTTTATAATTTTAACAGAAGAGGTTCGTATATCTTTCGTTATTCCAATGTATTCCGTTTCGATGGAACTGGTGTCCGAGCTAAGACCGTATAATGAAAAGAAGACAGCCTTAACTGGTCCATTAACCGGTCGCCCCATGTAAGACACGAAGAAGCAACACTTGGAGACCATAAAGTGCCCCACAGGGGGCTGCATGGGCAGACAAATTGTAAGCACCTTCAAGGGGGGTCAGAATGTCTAGGACCAGCTATGCAGGAACGTACACTCCGAGGCTTTAACAAATAGTTCACTTTTCAAAATTATTGGAATTCCGGAGCAGACGAAACCCGTGTCGTTTCCGTAAGTTGCAACTAACCAACTGATCAGTGCCATGCTATAGCTCAAGCGGTTAGTCGCTGGCTTCTTACAGCGGCGGCCCGGGTTTGAGCCCGGGTCACGTCATGTGGGATTTGTGGTAGACAAAGTGGCACTGGGCAGGTTTTCTCCGAGTACTTAGGTTTCTCGTGCCAATCTTTCTACCAATTGCTCCATCATCATCTATCATCTGAGGCTGGTACAATATGCCAACATTGGCCGCAGTACCAAGTGGACTCAGTCTCACCCCACTAAGAATAATAATAAAATAATAATAATAATAATAATAATAATAAACTGATCAGCTCACATTCTGGCAATGGAGCTCTGATAATACCGCTAATATGGACGCGCTTAGTCAGACCTAATTCGAAGCCGTAGCCTTGCAACATACTCCCTGAAATCCATTTTAATGCCATTTTCACGTCTATACAATATTCTATATTATTAAGACATTGGCAACATATTTTGTTTTACGTACGTCCACACTTACCCCCTTCATCGAAGAATAGTTTGCTGGGTGTTTACATAGTTCGGACAGTGAAGAACGAGGTTTTATGTAAAATGGAAAATACAGGGCGTATATGCGCAGGATACAAGCTATGCAGTATTATCGTTAGTCTAAAGGAGCAGCTCTCAGTCTGAAGCTCCCTTCATGTGAATTAAACTGTTTGAGCCTTCCAACCCCCCCAAATGGTT